CCTATATTTATCAAGAGAGAATGTATCATCTCTTGATTAAAAAGAAAAATATTCAGTTGTGTAAACAAGAAAAAAAAGATTCAAATCCTAATCTAAAACAAGAAGTGTTGTGATGGTGAAAGCTTCATTATTTGTTCAAATATTGTTGTGTAGATTCTTGACTAACATAATAACTTTTTCTTATAGGTTATTAGCACCGATTTGCATGACAAAAGCATTAATTGGTTTGGTTACATTATTTTTAGCTTGATTAAGAACTACCTCAATGGAAATACGATGATGTATAAATAAGTTTATAATAGAATGAAATCGCATTAGCATAACATTTTCATGATTTTCTATTTGTAATATTACAACTTAATTAAAATTATAGCTCTAAAATAAGCTAATATACAATTAAATTTACAAATATGTTTAGAATAATATTTAAATTATCAAATTATGATATTATATATATCTTTGAATTGAGCAATACACTTAATTTTCTTTGGATAATCCACATCCTTGAGTTGGAAGGCTTTATAACTATAAAATTACTTTTTATTAACCAAATACTATTGGGAAAATAAATTATATGACTAGGAGAACAAGAGAAAAGGAGGGGGGGGGGGGGGGGGGGGGGGGGGGTGTGCAAGTGTGGAGGAATATTTGAGGCTAAGTTGAAAAAAAAAATAGAAATTGAAAAATAATATACTAAAACATGTGAAGAATATTGCTGAAGTAGTAAAAGGTGTTGAGATAATTGTAACTTAGTTTTTTTTATTATTGATATACTTGCAACGTGTATGCTTTTTATGATTCTAAATATTATTTCTTTGATTACAATTTGTTCTAACATATTTTGGATGCATTGTTATTTGTTGTTTGTGTGTACTAACATTTCAGGGAAATCATTCTCCGGATTATTGAAGACTTCAAATCATATTAGTTTAGGATTTATTGTAAATGAAGTCTGTATTTTTTATTTTTATTGAGTCTGAGGTAGTGTGATTGTAATTGAATAACTGTGCGCACACACACCGGCCGGGGGATAGTTTAAAATTTATAATTTTTTAGCTGATCGTACTGTACTAAGTCATTTTGTATGGGGGACGATTTGTTCAGTTATTTTCCCCTATGAGCAGTCAAACTAACATAAGGAAGAAAATTTTTCTAAGTATGGATCGTACTGTACGATATACCATTCGTACGTACGCCATCCAAGGTACGAATTGGATGGGTCACTTTTCGTCCGGATGAATTCAAAGATTTTCTGAACGGTTCGTACCGTACGATGTCGTCATCATACGAATTGGATGGGTCCCTATTCGTCCAGACGAACATGAAAAATTTCTGAAAGGTTCATATCGTACGATGTCGTCATCGTACGTACGCCATCCAACATATGAATTGGACGGGTCCCTTTTCGTCTAGACGAACTTGAAAATTTTCTAAACTGTTCGTACCGTATGATGTCATCATTATACCTATGACGTCCAGTGTATGAGTTGGACAGGTCCCTTTTCGTCTCGATGAACTAAAAATTTTCTGAACTTATCGTACCATACGATGTCGTCATCGTACATATGCCATTCAGAGTACAAAATTATGGGGTCCCTCTTCGTCCCAATAAAGATGAAAAATTTTCTAACTGTTCGTACTGGACGATCATCGCGTACAAAATTATTTCGTACTGATTCATAACAGGTTCGTACGCAACAATTTTTGAACTGTTCGTACGTACGAACATACGATCGTATGTATGATTGTACACGCTTAAAATGAAAATTTTCAGTTTTATGGACAGTTTCTTGTATCTTTCATATAAAATGTCCTTTAAAATTGATGTAAAAAAGTCATTCTTCATGATTTTTCAAGAGCAAGTGAAAGAGTGCATTTGGGAGAGTATTTGAGAGAGATTTCTTGCATGAGAGATGTGAAGGGTTCACAAGGTTACTCAAAGGTAATGATCTTTTTGTGTTTTGCTTGTTTTTACTCTTCCTTTCTTCTTTCCAGTTGATCGAGGGAAGATCTTTGAAGTAAGACGCCGGTACTCTGCCGACACTTGGAGGGTATAAATAGATGACGATACTCTGCCGATACTTGGAGGGTGTAAAATATGTCGGTACTCTGCCGACACTTGGAGTATGTGAACATACGATGGTACTCTGCGACACTTGAAGGGTGTGAAAGGACGATGTTACTCTGCCGACACTTGGAGGGTGTAAAAGACGATGGTACTCTGCCGACACTTAGAGGGTGTGAAAGGACGACGGTACTCTGCCAACACTTGGAGGATGTAAAAGACGACGGTACTCTGCCGACACTTGGAGGGTGTGAAAGTATAATGGTACTCTACCGACACTTGGAGGATGTAAAAGACGACAATTCTCTCCCGCACTGGGGATTGATGGAAGAGAGTTTGTGTAAAGACTTCTCCGCCTTGCTGTGGGTGTAAAAGGAGTGTCACTTTGATAATAGTGCAATACTTGAAGTGGGAGTCATCAAGGTGTGGATGTAGGTCGTGTTTGACCGAATCACTATAAATCTTTGTGTCTTTTAATTTTCACATTTATTTACTGCAAGTTATTTACTGTAGTTGAAAAGTTTATTTTAAACTTAAATTAACTTGCTACGAGATTCAAAACGATTTTTCTATTTAAAAAATCTAAGAGAATTTTTAAATTGTCAATTCACCCCCTCTTGGTTAGCTTTGGGGCAATAGCTTAGGTTTAACAACCTATAAAGAATCAACAAAAGGTTGTACAAAATTTCTAAAGGCAATGTTCTAAATAGATGAAAACTTTAAGTTTATTTTGACTAGGACAAATGTATTAAAAGTGAATGTTAGTGTTGAGTGAACTAAAAATTTACTGATATCATACTAAATACTACAAAGAAATATTGGGTTCCTATCATCAAAACAAAGTGGCTAAATAATAATACCCTTAGTTAGAGATTTCACTTGTTATCATCTTTGCATAATATCATGTAAACACTAAATAATAATACCCCTAGCTAGAGATTCCACTTACTAGTTAGAATATGCTCATAAGTCACAAGTAGGTCAACTTATACACCCCAAATCAAACAATCAAGAGCAAATTAGTTCAAATTGTTATTTTTTAACTATATTCATTTGTATTTTCTTGTCATTTCATAAGTTTGAACTTTTTCAAATCAATTTGGGACCCACTAACTCTTTATCTTATTACAAACTTAGCAAAATCCTATATCAAATAAAGTTTTAAGAAATTTGCATAAATATATTCGACGTATTTGAAGTCAATATGAACTTTAAAGTTCTTATGTTTATACTGAGGTTAGTGATACATTTATGAACTTTTAAATTAAGTTTGATATAAAATGAATAAATGCTTGAAGATAATTTAGGGTTTATATGGGGTTGCTTTCAAACTGCTTTGATTTTCATATAGCAACCATATAGTTTTATTTGCATGATGCTTTATTGTTATTTTTTGCAGTGGCAAGATGCTTTTTTGCAATTAAATATACTAATGTATAAGAGCTATAATAAACTCGTAGTCTAATTTTTTAAAATAGAACGTATTTATAATAACCACCAAAGTTAAAAAAAAAAATATTTTCCGTACAATAACTTTACACGCGTCTTTATAAAAAAAACTGTAGTCGCCTCAAAAATATTCTTAGGATATGTTTGGGGCCACTGTAACTTTTCATAAAGATGATAACAAAGATGTTATAAAAAAATAAAATTTTTATAAGCTATTTTGTGTTATAATCTTTTTCTTCTTTGTAAAATCAAATAGAAACTATCTTATAAGTTCCACACATTAATATATTTGATTATAAAAAGTAAATTTTCATGACAAAAATTTCTGAAAAATAACTAAAAAATAGGAGGAAAATAGAAATAGAAGTTTGATTATCATCTTAAAAGAATGGTACTAACCCTTAAAAAAATTTAGCCTACTGAAAAACATCAAAAACCCTAAGAGAGGCCAATCAAGGTTAGATTTTCTTTTTTGGGTCTGATACATGAGCTTCATTTGAGGGAAAATTATTAAGTCCAAACATCGGACGTAGAGATACGTTCGGACTCCAATAAAATATTGACACGTGAATATTCAATTAAATTTATTTTTTACTTTATAAATTAAATATGTCCGTAGAATTTTAAGCCAAGCTCAGGTAAAAGCGTAGTCAAAACACAGTCAAAATGCAGTCAAAGCACAGTCAAAGGGTAATAAAAAAGGGCAATAAAAGTGCAGCCTACATGTCAAATTTTAATTAGATCTCCAGACCTATATCTACGTCCGGTAGGGGTGTCAATTCGGTCCGGGTCAACCCGAACCTGACCCGTTTTTAAAAACGGGTCAAGTTTTCGGACCCGAACCCGACCCAATTCGGGCCCGGGTCAACCGACCTGACACGAATGACCCGAATTTGACCTAAAGTTGCAAGATTTCGGGTCAAAGATCGGGTCAATATTTGATTTTCGGGTCAAAATCGGGTCAAAATGGGTCAATCTCGGGTTTCCGAGTCAAATAGGAGTTTTCGTGTCAATTTTGGGTCATTTTCGGGTTGCTGGGTCAACATGAACCCGACCTGATTTTTAAAACAGGTTGATTTGTTGAACCTGAACCTGACCAGTTTCGCGTCCAGATTGACCCTAACCCGAATTTTTCGAGTCGGGTTCGGATCGTGTTTCGGGTCGTGTCAAAAATTGACACCCCCAACATCTAGTGTCCGGACCTAATAATCCTCATTTGGGATAACCTTTTTAATACTTTTAAAGTAACTTTTTAGTGTAAAAATTAAAAATTTAATAATAAAAATTTACTTTAAAACAGTAGCCCATAAGAAATTCTTTCCCGTCAAGAAATCTCGTTTGTCAACAAGCACGAGAGTTGAACGGCCATGATCTAATCTTCGCTAGTTCTAAACCAAACGTAGATCCTACTCACCGTTCGATCTTCAGCCTCGGCTACGATCGCTATGTTAACGGTTCAGATGTTTCTTGCATAGATCCAACGGTCTGCAATTACTAACCTTGCTATAAATAATCTAATGTTAGGGCTTCGACCTCCCTCAAGCTTCAAAAGGTTCGAGAAGAAAACCGCCTAATTAGGGTTTCCAAGCTCTTCAGGCCTTTCAACAAAGATGGTAAGCATCTTCTTCTCATCTGTTATCGTTAGGATCCGATCCCTTATGTGATTTTCTTACAAAGCTCATTTTTTCGCTGTGGTTTCATATTTCTTTCAATGTCCAGTTTATATTGTTAGAATCTAACCTACTATTGCTTCATCTTACTAATATTTTGTTTTCTTGACCGGTGTTGATATTCTAAACCCATAATTATGATCTAATTTCAATTCCCTTATCTATTTATTTTTTTTTTCATTCCAGGTTCTTCAGAACGATATTGATCTGCTAAACCCACCGGCTGACCTTGAGAGGAAGAAGCACAAACTCAAACGTCTTGTCCAGTCTCCTAATTCCTTCTTCATGGTATTATAGTTTTGGAATTAAATTTTTTATTGTGATATATCCCTTTTAAATGGCGCTGAAGATTTCTGATTTGATTGTTTTGCGTTGAAGGATGTCAAGTGCCAAGGTTGCTTCAACATGTAAGTTTATGATATGGTGTTCTTTCATTGATTTCTTGATCAATTATGAGATTTCTTTCTGATGGTTCTTTCTATGGTTTTGTCTTACAGAACTACTGTATTCAGCCATTCTCAAACAGTAGTTGTTTGTGGAAACTGCCAGACGGTGCTTTGCCAGCCAACTGGAGGGAAGGCTAGGCTTACAGAGGGTTGCTCGTTCCGGCGGAAAGGAGACTGAGCTCAGGGTGATCAGTTCTCTTCTTGCTCTTGCTTTAAGTTATTAAAATTTGGCACTTTAATGGGAGAAATCTATTAAAATGAACTTATGAGTCGAGTTCCAGAGGTTTTCTTTTGCTTTTTTCTCTGTTCAACAGATGTTGGTTTCTCTGTCACTGTAAGTTCTTCAAGTTGTTCTTAGGGAAAGATAGATTAAACTTGCTAATGTTCTCCTGTTTTTATCTTTTTGTTATGTTGGATTGGAACTTGCCTTTGTTACTTTTTGTATGAGCTTTGCATTATGATGTGGAAATGTCTTTGATAGTCAAGTGAGGTATGATGGAAGAAATGAGAATGGTAAGATTGATATGACACTAAGAAAATATATATTGTGAAATAATTATATGTTCTTGCTCATCACACTTGAATTCAATAAGCTAAATTAGGCTTTTGACATGTAGCACAAATTAAAGTAATACATTGACTTCTTTGTTGGGATATTTGAGCTATTAAGATAAATTTATATTCACATTACATATGCAAGTTTTGAACTAAAAAATTCTTGATTTATTGTCAAAGCTCTTAACCAGCAGATCTAGATAAGTTGCATACCTTTATGTTACTATTATTATTACATATAGTTAAACTTTTGCTTTGTCTTGAACTACCCATCTCCTCTAGTACCCTATGCTAACTTTTTTTAAAGGCTAATTTATCATTTTTTTCTCACTAGCCATATCATGATTTGTTAGTCATGTTAACAAAACAAAGTATCAAAGGATTGAGCTTTTTTTTTTGAAATTTACAACATTTCTCACTTGTTTTACTAATAAGGTGTGTAGTAGATCTTAATATAAAATTCATCTCATACTTGATCACTATCTTTGTTCTTTATGTTAGATTTACTAAACTTTATTGCATCTCCTATCTTGTGTAATGAGGATTAAATTAATTCATAAAAAATTTGCTCAAACTATCTCAAGTGACTTGGTACTCAAGTTGTGTTGGTGCTATTAGTAGCACATGTATTTAGGGTTTACATAAGAGACCGAAGCTTCGTTTGGGCTTTATTTAAATCTAATTTCTAATAAAATTTTTAGTTAAAAAAATTTTTGTACTAAAAAAATACTTTAAGAGAAAGTTTCAGAATCTTTTTCATTATCTTCATTTGCATCATATTTCCATACATCATGGCTATAGGATATGATGCAACAAGTATATTCTCTCCTCTAAGAGCACTGTATTCCATTATTGCAACATTCTCAACTTCCACCATACTATACACAATTTATTATGTTATAAAGCACATTTTTTTTATACTCATGTTAATGAATAAAATATGTTCATGAATAAAATAATACAACAACAACATAATGCTTATGTTTCATTACGTGGGGTTGACTACATGAATTCTTTTTCGTTAGTGTTCTGTTAAAAGTTAAATTTTCATTTAAATTTAATAAAGAAATATTATTTCTAATATTTTCTAACCAAGTCTTTTTAAGTTTATCTTTACATTTTTTAACATAAGTCAAATCTAATACCTCAACTTTTTTAATTGGGTCATCGGAATGTCTCCATTTATGTGATTAAATCATCTAAGGCGTCTCTCTGTAATCTTATCTCCCATTGGAGTTACTCCAACCTTTTCAAGTATATGCTCATTTTGTATCATATCTCTAAGGGTCAAGCCACTCATCCACTTAAGCATCATTGTTTCTGTAACACTTAACTTAGTATTATGCTTCTCTTTTAATGGCCAACATTTGGCACCATAAAGCATTGCAGTTCTCACCATCATCTTATATAATTTTCAATTAAGTTTGAGGGGGACTTTTCTATGCACAATAAGTCAGATGCATTCCTCAACTTCAACCATCCAACTTGAATTTTGTTGATAATATCCACATCAATTTCACCATCACTTTGAACAATAGATCTAAGATATCTAAAACGTGTACTCTTATTAATAACTTGATCGTTTAAAGTCACAATCCCCTCACTTGGTGTATTGCTACTAAAATTACACATTATATATTTAGTTTTAGATCTACTCAAGTGAAAACCTTTAGACTCTAAAATTGATCTCTATAATTCAAGTTTACATTCAGCTCCCTCTCTAGTCTTATCAACAAGAAGAATATCATCAGTAAAAAGCATACATTAAGGTACATCCTCTTCTAAATGTCTATTGAGAACATCTATGACTAAAGCAAAAAGATATGGACTTGGCTGATCCTTGATTTAATCTAACTGAAATAGGAAATTACTTGGTCAAACCACCTTGTGTTTGAACACAAGTAATAGCTCATGCATATATATCTTTAATGATTTGAATATAACATTATTAACTCCTTTCTTTTCAAAAACTCTCCATAACATTTCTCTTGAAATTTTATCATATGCTTTCTTTAAATCAATAAATATTATATGTAGATCCTCCTTATTTTTTCTATAATTCGCATACTCCTGAGTATTATCTTTATTCTTAAAAATAGGAATTAAAACACATTCTCCACTGATCTGACATCCTTTTAATCTTCAAAACAATATTAAAAAGTTTAGTAATTCAATAAATTTCTTCATCTCCTAAGCATTTTCACATCTCTATTGGAATATCATTAGGTCCAACAACTTTTTCACACTTCATTTTTTTTAAAGCCTCTATAACTTCGGTTTTACTTATACGCCGATAAAAATAAAAATCTTTATTTTCATTTATGATGATAAAGTCACTAAAGTCAATCTTATTTTCACATTCTTCATTAAAAAGTTTAGCAAAATACCTCATCCACCTTTGTTGAATATTATCTTCTAAGAAAATGAACATATGCTCCACGGATCACTTAAGAATTTTACACCCACATATGCTCGATGATATTGGTATTATATTCAATCTATTTTCTTAATGATATTGAATCTAATTAAGCTTTCATATTTAATCCTCAAAATTGAACTACTTACTTTTTATCTTGCCCTATGATGATCCCTTTTAGTAGAGTTCATAGATGTTTAAATTTCAATTGAGTAAGGCTTGTTTGGGGTAATTTTTTTTATTTTTTAAAGTAAATTTTTAGAACAATTTTTTTAATATTGGTTCCAAAAAATCATTTTAGAAAGTGGTAAAAAAATTGTCTCAAATAAAACCTCAATATATATCAAAGGCTCATTTTGAAAATTTAGACGTCACAATAGAGTGTGTGATAATGACCCAAACCTAAACAAAAAGCATAATGCTAAACTCATAAAGTTCAATAAGATAATACAAGCCACCCACTACTGTTTGTCAGGATGGTGAAGAGTTGGCTGGGCAAAACCCAGGTCCTTGGTTCGAATTCCTTGACAAGCAGTGAAAGTCTTAAATGTTGGCCCGTGTAAATTGATGTGAGTTGCATGCTAGGTCAACCGGGATTTTCACTGGCCCAAGGACAGTGCTTCTTCGTCAAAATAATAATAATAATAATAATAATAATAATACAAGCCAATTATGAAGATGCATTATTAAAGATCAAAATATAGGAGAAACATTTTATATCAAAATTAAACATCAAAACATTTTATATTAAATTCAAATCATCATCTCACTTTGGCTCAATCTTGTTATTCCCTTTATCCAAATTGTAGCTAGAATAATAATCTAGTGAGTTATAAAGCTCTATAAGATAAATAATTTTGATAAAATATTTAAATATTAAAAAAAATTATGCAAGTCATAAACTAAATATAAAGAGTAAAATATAAATATAAATTAGTTTAATCATTGTTTTTATTATAAAGTGAAATTAATTAAATAATGATAAAGCATAACACTAAGTAATATAATTTTATTGAAGAAATCTTTAAAGAAATATGAAGAGTTTAATCATCATGAGCTTTATGCTAGCCAAGAGCACTAATGTCAATATACTTAATTGATCTTAATGTAATATTCCTTGAAAAAGTTGGAGTAGCTCCGGTGGAAGATAAGATTAGAGAGAATAGTCTTAGATGATTTGGTCATATAAAATAACGACTTTTCGATGGCCCGATTAAGAAAGTAGATGCATTAGATTTGACTATGTTAAGAAAGGTAGAAACTAGAAACAGACCTAAAAAGACTTAGAAATATTAGAAATTATATTTTTTATTAGATTTAAATGAGTATTTAACTCTTAACATGACACAATGAAAAAAAATGACTCATGTAGCTGACCCCACATAGTGGGATAAGAGCTTGATATTGTTGTTGTTGTATTTATTTATTAATATAGAATATCTAATCTTAGTCTTTGAATATATAATATATGGATGTCTAATTTTATTAATCATCAAAATCAAAAGATAGTTGAATATATTAGTTCCACATCTCATATCATAATGTTGAAAAGACTCAATAATTATTGAACTAAAAAAAAAAATTAATTGAACTCTCTCTCAAACTAACATTAAGAGGTTAATCATTTTCCTCCATTGAGGCTCAACTTAAAAATCTATTGCCTCACAAGTACCTATCATAATATTATATTGCTAATTGATTATATTTTTTAAGCTCATTGCATTTTTTTTATTGAACATTTAAATACTTATATCATTCATAAGGAGCATATTAATCGACATAATGCATAAATATGCAAATTATAAGTACTAGATGGCTTGCTTTAAAATACATCATTTTAATAAAATGTTAGAATGCTCTTGATCTTTCAAGCATGTACTTGCATAATTTAAAATTAATGCGTAATAATTTAATTATGAATGATAGGACATAAATATGACATTTATAATATGAAGATTAGAGGTGTAAAAGAGTCATGTCGAGCTCGAGTTATGCTTAAGTCGAGTTCGGCTCGTCAGCTAAGTCGCGAGCTCGAACTCAAGTTCAAATGGCGGGCTCCAGCTCGGCTCGTGAAAATGGATGCGTGCGCGCGAGGCAGCTCGTGATTCGCCCTTGCGCGTCCGCGATATCATTCCTCCTTCCACGTACATGCTCGAGTCCGCCTTCCGCTTCGTGTTCGCGTGTGATTCCTCATTCTGCATTCGTGTGTGATTCCTCCTTCCGCATCTGAGCTTCTACTTCAAGTCTCTGCTCAAGTTACCTTCCACTTCACGTTCATGTTCGAGTCAGCCTTTTGTGCGATTCCATGCGATTCTTCCTTCCCGTCCGCCTTCTGCTTTGCGTTTGTGTCTACCTTTTCCATCGAGCCGCTCCACGAGTCAACAAGTCAAGTAACATTGGACTCAAACTTGAGCTTGATTACCCAATGAATTCATAAATATGCTTGAGCTCAAAACGCGATAAGCTCGGCTCGTGAGCTCTTTATCTTGTCGTCAGTCGAGCTCGAATAGGCTC